CCGGAGCGCAGGGCCCGCGGCCGGGAGAGAGGCAAGGCGGCCGGGGGACGCAGGCCCCTGCGGGCCAGGGCCGCCCGCGCGAGGGCCCGCCCGACACGCACGGACGGGGCTGCGTCCGGGACGGGGTTCGCGGCGCTGCGAAGCTGCCCCTGTGGGCGAATCACTTTGGAGGGAACCTCACTCCGCGCGGCTCCTGGGCGCCCCTGCCTCGTGGGGACCCCGAGGCGCGGCTGGAGACCGGGGCGCAGCTCCTTCTTTGCAATCGCTGTGGAACAGATGTGCGTATTTTCGGGGTACGCCTGGTATTTGGACGCGTCTCTACAGCGCGCGTGCGGCGGGCCTTCGCCCGGGTAGACCCCTCGCCCGCAGTGGCCCGCTGTCTCCCTCCCTCCAAACGAGTGTTTACAACAGACTCTTCATTTCACAGAACGGCTGCCCAGACCGTGCAGGGGCTCACGAGGCGCGTCCAGCACCGCACCGGGGCCCCCGCGCCCCGTGCAGCTGCCCGTCCCCGTAGGCGCCCCGTGGCCCAGGCCTTCCTCCCGCCGTGCCGCAGTCCCGCTCGCTCGGGAGTTCTCTAGAACGTGCGGTCACGGTGCCAGGGGATTTTCTCAGGGTCGAACTGGGTTAGGGTCTCGGGAGGAAGACCACAGAGGCAAAGTGCGGTCTTCAGCACACTGTGTCACAGCCACCTGTGGGCAGCACGACTCGTCACTGTCGACGTGGACCTGGTCGCCTGGGTGAGGCCATGTTTGCCAGGTCTCTGCACCAGACGGTCACCCCCCACCCCCGTCCACACTGTCCTCTCCGGAAGGGCGTGGCTAAGTGCTGCCCACACTTGAGGAGCCGGGTCCCGCTGGGGAGCACTTCCCGAGGGCCGGGCGGCGGCCGTCATTTGGAATTCTTCTGTGCGGGAGGCTCCAAAATAATTTAGAATTCATTTTCTATCTTCTTAGAGTGAAGACACTGAATAAAAGTGAAATTTTAAATAGCTTTATGGAGCTATAAGTCACACAGTGTACAGTTTACCTATTTAAAGTGTGCAATTCAAAGGTTTTGGGGTTCGTTTTTTTTTTTAGTTTTTTTGTGCAACCACTGCCACAATCTATTTTCAAACCTTCTCATCTTCCCTAAAACAAACCCCGTCCCATCCCCGGTCTCCTATGTCTCCCTAGGGCCTGGAAACTACCATTTTATTTTCTGTCTCTATGGATTCACCGTTTCTGGACATTTCATATAAATGGAATCATACAACTTGTGGATTTGTGTGTCTGGTTTCTCCCCCTTAGCATAACGTTGTCAGGGCTCACGCGTGCTGGAGCACGCATCAACGCTTCATCCCTCATGGCTGAACGATAGTCCATGGCATGGGTATGCCACGTGTTGCTCATCCAGCCCCGGCGGACACGGGTTGTTTCCACTGTTGCCTATTATGGATAATGCTGCCACAGATATCTGTGCATGAGCTTCTTGTGGTCATATATTTTCGTTTCTCTTGGGCATATATTTAGTAATGGAATTGTTGGGTCGCGTGAGAACGCTACACAGAACTCTTTGAGGAACTGCCAGACTGTTTTCCAAAGGCTTGTACCATTTCACGTCCCTACCGGCCCTGTGGGCGGCTGCCACCTTCTCCACATCGTGGCCAGCACCTGCGACCGTCTGTTTTGCTACGGCGAAAATGGCTGCTAAGCCAGTGGTCCCAAAGCACCCTCTCCCCATCTGCACGTGGCGGGCAGCCAGGACACCCGAGTCCCATGGTGGGCGCGGGAAGGAGCGAGGCCGCACCCATGGCAAAGGGGTGTCGTGGCCCGTTTGCAGGATGGAGGATGAACACAGAACATAAAACACAAACGCGGAACACAAAGAAAAGCGCGGACACACAGACAAATGGTTGACTTGAGTAATAATACAATGGGTCAGTTTTATTTTTATACTCTAAAAGATTAAAGTTAGTTCCTTGTAGGTAAGCACCCAGGCGTGGTAGCGATAGCGATAGCCATAAATTCCGGAAAGCGTAGCCTTAGGGAAACAGATATCCCCTGAATTCAAGGTGGTTGCTCTAGGCACTAGGCATAGATAAAAAGGACGGGGTCCAAGTAGAGCGAAGGATGGGCAAGGTGAGCCACAGGGGGCATTTCTCATCCCCAGCTTCTCTTAGGGTGACCCCCTAAGATCTTCGGCTGAACCCCGGCGGCTGTGCCTGGCTTAGGTCGCCCCTCCCTTGAGGGGTCTTACCCGTCATTGACTAACCAGCCATCTTACGGGGGTGTACACAGCAATCACAGGAACAATGTGTTTATCGTGTGGCCTCCAGACCCCCAATGCCGTGGGGCGGGGTAGCTCTTGATTACTTACAACTCGGGTCCTTTGTTATGCCTCTAGGCAACATCCTTATTTATCACAAGGACCTTGTCCGGAACAGATTACTTTCAAACGCTCTGGGCAGAACACGTACATTACTCACTAACTTTAATTCTTAAACTAGGAAAATATATGTCAGTCCCCTACAGAGGGGCGCCTTGTCAAGGTGGCCAGCCGCCTACCCGTAGCTCTGTGACGGGCTCTGCACACGCTGGCCTCGGAGGCGGCTCTCCAGGCTGGCGGCCCTTTCTGGTCGATTGGTCTGTCTCCAAACGAGTGATAGTCGCACCTCGACTCGCGAGGGCGGCCTGCCATGCCAGGCCTGCGCTTGGAGAGAGCTCCGTCCCGGCGGGGCCGGGTGCTCCCGAACACCCCCGTCGCGTGCTCACAGGCGGCCTCCGGCTCCTCGCCAGGGGAGCCTGCGCGGCTTTTCCTGTTTAGCTTACGGTTTCAAGTTTCGGGATCAGGATCTCGTCACAGACTTTGCTCATCCTAATTCCAAGAGGCTGTTCTAACTTGCATCAAAGTTTGCCTCTGCTACTCGGGTGCACCCAGGCCCCTTCTGACAGTGGGTCCCCTCCTGCTGCTGGCCCGAGCCGCCCCGAGTGGCCATCGCGGAGCAGGAGCAGGGCCCGGCCCCGAGCAGCAGGCGCTCCCGCCCCTGTCTCTGAGCAGGCAGGGAGAGAGTGGCCCGAGACCGCTGCCTGATTTTTTCCCTTCTAAAGATTCCCTCTCCCATCAGATATTTCTTCCCTAAACATTCCTTGAAATTTAAGCAAACTTACTTTCCACTCATTCAATTAACACGTTTTTGCTAGTTGTAGGTGAATTTGTGGATAATTGCCCTGCTACATGGCTGATCCTTTCCCTTGGTCTTTGCTTAGACCCCACCCTGCCCCGCGCGTGGCACGTTGGGCTGTTTCCGTATCTTCAGAGGCCCCCCTCGTGCCAGGCACCGTGCTAAGGGCTGGGATGTGGTACTGGACCGGAGCCGAGATCACCCCCTCTGTGGCTGTTGCAGTGGGTGGGGCAGGGGGTGGGGGTAAGGAGGAAAGGAAAACAAAGATATGATTGCAAGTTGTGCCGGCTTCCGGGTATGTCAAGGGAGGGAGGGGTCAGGGAAGCTGGGATCTGAACATGAGCAAGAATTAGCTGAACGCAGAGTAGAAGAGAGAGTGTCCCAGGGAGAGAACGTCGTGTGCAAAGGCCCCGGGGTAGGAAGGCACCTGGCTCATTCAAGGAGCGCTGGAGGACTGGAATGCAGTGGAAATGGTGGGAAGTGGTACCAAGTGAGGCTGGCCAGGCAGCCAGGAGCCAGGCCACGCCGAGATCAAGGCCCCGGGAGGTTTCTCCCAAGAGCAGTAGGAAGCCACCGGAGGGTGTCGATTGCGGGGGAGACATGCTCGGGGCTTCGTCGCCCACGGTCTCACGGGCAGCCACGGGGGCGACGGTCTGGTGGGGAGTTGAGCCTGCACTCAGGGAGAGCAGGCAGGTGTGATGACAGTGGCCCAGGAGAGAGAGGGCAGCCCAGGCTCGGGGGAGGCCTGGGGCACAGCGTCAGGGCTTGCAGAGAAGAGAGTCTGACAAGCGCAGATCTGCAAGGGTTTCTGCCCCAACCCCAGCTGGAGCCAGAACTGAAACTTTGACCCCAAACCGAACCGGCCAGCAGGACTTTGTTCTCCATGGGTTTCGACCGCGTGCAGGCCCCTGGCTCTGGCGGCCCCGCGGCTCCTGCTGCGATCGCCGGCCCGGCCACTGGCCCTGGCACAGCGCTCAGCAGGCCGGCCCGTCCTGGCCCCGGCCCCCGCTGCCGCGCGCGCTCGCTGCTGCTCGCGGAGGGGCGGGGCCGTCTGGAGCCGCCGCCCCCACCAGTCAGCTCGCAGGCCCCGGCCTCGCCCGCTGCCCCCACCTGCCAGGTCCACGTTCGGGAGAGTCAGGGAGGCTGCGGGGGGCCACCCCCACCCCTGGCCAGCCTGGAGCAGGGTGCCTAGTCGGCCGCCTCCCTGCGCCTTCAAGAAGAGGGGAAGGGGGTCACCTGCAAGAGAGCCCGGTGCTGCCAGCAGACACGGGGGACAGAGTGGCAGCACGGGCCTGGTCCACCCCGGTCTTCCCGTGTCAGGGGGCGCCCCACTTTGAGCCCACCCCCAGTCTAGGCACCCCAGGCACTAGGTGCCCCTGATGTTCCCTTACACTGTTTCTGGAACGTTCCCCTTTCTGTCAGTCTTGCTTGGGGTCTCATGATTTCCTGCCTGCATTGCTAGAAGCTGCAGCTTTCAGTCTAGACCTCTTTGACCCCGCGCCCTGTCCGTGGGGATTCTCCAAAGTGCACGCGTCAGACGCGTGTCTGTCCGATGCCCCCACCCCTCAGCCCGCCCTGCCCACAGGCCTCCTGCTGGCAACAGTGTACAGGTCACGGCCGTGGGCGACAAGCTGCAGCAGACACACGGCTCTGTTCCTGCCCCTCTGCCTCTGCTTCTGCTGCGCCTTGCCCGGATACCTCTCGCTCAGCTCAGACAGCGCTCCCTCCCACGGGACTCCCCTCTGGGCCCCTCTGACATCCTCTGCATACTCTGGGCACTACGGTTTTCATGTTATTTTGAAATTTTCTGTTTATTCCATCATTCAATAAATATTTATTGAGCATCAACTATGTGCCCGCCACTATTCCAGGTGTTGGAGGTTACAGCAGTGAATAAATCAAATTCTAGCTGGCACAGGCAAAGGGACAGGTAGGAAACAACATAAGTAGACAGGTGGCATGCGGCGGGGATATGTGCAAATGCTCTGGAGGAGAAACAGTGGAGGAAGAGGACAGAGTGATGAGGGGTTGGTGCCATTTGACACGTGACGTCCGAGCAGAGCCATGTGGGTGGCTAGATGGGGAAGGGCATTCCAGGTGAGAGGGGTGGGAGGGCAGGAGCAGATCTTGTAGGGGACCTTGTGTGAAATGGGAGGCGAGGACACCTGATGTGGGTAGCCCAGCCCGTCGGCAGGTGAGGGGCAGGAAGTGTCCAGCAGGAAGGGGCTGAGTCCCTGGTGGCACTAGAGGTGTGAGGAGTGACCACATCCGCCTCCTCCCCATGGCGTGGCACGGAGTGGAGCCCGGCGCTCGTCTGTCGGTGGCAGAGGAAGGGGCCTTCTGGATTCCTCCTTCCCGAGCGTGCCCCGCGCAGAGGGAGCTTCCTGCAGGTCTCGCTGGGCCGGGCCCCCACTCTGCTACTGCACAGGAGGGCAGACCCCCCACGTCCGAGGGGACCTGGTAGAAAGCCCCCAGCCTGGGGCTCCCCAGGGTTGGGGGCTCAGCCTCAGGGAGGCCCTTGCACCTGTGCACGGGGGTGGGGGGCTGAGGAGGGCATGAAGGAGCCGGCGCAGTGGTGGCTGTCACAGCGGTGGCTGTCACAGCGGTGGCCGGCGTGGGTGTCCTGGGAGGGGCGTGCACACTCTCTGTGGCTGGGGCTCACCTGCTGCTGACCTCACGTCGCCGGGGAGCCGGGAGAGCGCGCCAGGCTGGAGCCCCGGCAAACAGGCAAACACCCAGCTGCTTTTGAAGCTTGCCCTGAGCCCCGCCCAAGCTTCCCGCGCATTCCTGGGCTCGGCTTGGAGAGGAGCAAAAGCAGAGGGCCGGGCCCTAATCCCCACCGCCAGGGCTGCAGGGAGCAGGGCCCGGACCACGCCACACCCCACACTCGCACACTGTGTTCTTGTCACGCAAACTTCCTGGGCAGGGACTCCAAGGGCTGACTCAGCGGGGAGGAGGGTCCTTAAATACGGCCCCCCTTGGCTCCTGCTCATTCCGGGAGCTCGGGCCGGGCCGCTGGGAGAGGCTGCGCCAAAGGTAATCCTCTCCCTCCCCGGCGCGCGCGCGCTCGCGCCTCCTCCCTGGGAAGGCAGAGCCGGGTGGAGCGTGCCCTCGGGGCGAAGGCCCCCGGGGCGAGAGTCCTCCGCCTCCTCCGGGGCCGGGTCTCTCCAGGAGGCCCCCAGGCCCGTGGAGCAGGGGCCACAGTGGCCGTCGGGCGCGCGAGGGGCCTGGCTGTGCCGGCCGCCTCCTTCACGCACCCGGGGGCAGCAGAGGCGGCCCGATGTGGCCCCTGACTTGCCACTCGCCGACCGTGAGACCAAAAACGGGCCGTTTAACGTTTTCAGTCTCGCTTTCCTCATCTGTAAAGCGCACCCCTAACTGTCCCTTCGTCACGGGCGCTGCTGGAGCCTCTGGGAGGACGGGAGGGGCGACAGGAGCGGGCACAGGGCCGCAGGGCCGGGCGGCACGGGAGAGGCTTCCTGTGTCCCTGAGTCTGCGTGACGGCTCCGCGGCAAGGTGCCGTGTTAGCCCTGTTTCTCGGGAGAGGCCCGGGCCGGCCGTCCTTCGCGGAGCCCACGGCTCTGCGCGGGACGCTGGGGGCCAGCCCGGCCCCGCTCACCCACACCGCTCTCCTCCCACCTGGGCCGCCCGCCTGGGTGGCTGGTGGGGGGTGGCTAACCCTGGCTGTTGTCCCGGTTTGGCCATAGGAGGGGCCTTCCTGCGGGGCTGTATGGCTCAGGTCATGGTCAGGGGAGGGGCCTGGTCCTCAGGGCCAGGGAGTTCCACTGAGGGACCCCCAGCCTCCCGTCATCCTAGGGAGGGGCCCGCGGCCCGCCAAGGCTCAGAGCCATTTGCTGGAATTCGAGCAGGATCAACATCCTTAGCTGTATCTATCTATCTATGACATAATCATGTGTTATATGTATAGGGTGTTTTTGTTTTGCTTTTGCAAAATGGAAATATCCTTATGTTTTCCCTGATGTCAAAAGTTATGCCATGCCTGCAAGTGGTCCAGCACCTCTGCCAGGGGGCAGGGAACTAGTTGGTCCTGGCGGCTTCCCTGTAGAGAAGGGAAGGGAGACTTACTTTTTTTTCTCTTTGTTCCCATTTGTATCTTTTATAATTCTGTACCATGAGCATGTATTGCCTATTCAAAAATGTAACAAACATTTAAAAAATACAAGTTCATTGCAAGAAATACAACGCCACAGCAGATGAAAGCAAAGATCACCAGTAACTCCACCGCACCAATGTTCCCATCACGGTGCGGGCTACCCTTCTGGTCCTTTCCTGCATGCGTGAGCACATGCACGTACACACCCACGCACACGCACACACGCACACACACACACACACACACACACACACACACACACACGTGTGCGCGCACGCGCGCGTGAGCGCGCCTAAATCCCGGCACCTGGGACACAGCTGGTGCAGACAGGGCCGTGAGAAACACGCCCAGTAGCTCGCTCCGGCTCGGCACGGGACGCTGCAGCAACCCGTGGCAGGCGCGCAGCACGCGTGCACTCCCGCTGCCTCCTCCTGACGGGCCTTGAGGGCGCTCCCAGCGTTTCCCTGTTACATACCCGCTGTCGTGACTTCTGCTCATGGAGGCTAAGGAACCCTGCGGTCACTACGAACTCCTGAGCGTGGTCCTTCTGTGTCACACACAAATATGCCGGAAACGCTTTTGCTAGACATCGCCAAGTTGCGCCCAGCAGGGCTGCCCCGATTCGCCAGTGCGGCTTCTTGCACTGGTGGCAGGACTCGCCTCCACGCTCGCACCTGGAACGCTGTGCCAAGTGCCCGGTGCTTTGGAGAAGGATGGTGGAGCCAGAAGGCTGTGCCGGGCTTCCTTTCACCAGCGTGGGTGTGGCGCCAGACCCATGTTCCTCCCCGTAATCTGGAGAGCGGCCGGCCGGGTGTGCAGGGCTCTGGGAGTGCTCGGCTGGGGCTGTCACCAGCTTTGCAAGCAGGAAGAGGCAGCAGAGCGGGACTGGAGGGGGGCCAGGAAGGGCCCTGCCCCAAGCACACTGCCAGGGAGCCACCAGCAGCTGGGGATGGCCTCACTGCCAGGAGCGTCACCCGCTCGGGGCCTATCGAGACGGCCGGAAGGGCCCAGATAGATGGCTGAGTCGGGGGGCTCATGAGAAGGCAAGAAGCCGGGAGGCTGCCGTCCCGGGGTCCAGCCTGGCTCTGGGGGTCCTCCCTTCCCAGGACACCAGGCAGTGGGGAGCAGTGGCCGGCAGCGAGTGCCCGGGTGCCCGCGACTGGGCTGGAGGCAGGGCGCAGCTCCGGCTGGGGGCGCGGGTCCTGTGCCCCCTGCCGCAAGGCGCTTTCTGTCCCTAGGCACCATGAGCAAGATCAGCGAGGCCGTGCAGCGGGCCCGGGCGGCCTTCGCCTCGGGCAGGACCCGCCCGCTGCAGTTCCGGGTGCAGCAGCTGGAGGCGCTGCGGCGCATGATCCAGGAGCGCCGGCAGGACATCGCGGGCGCGCTGGCCGCGGATCTCCACAAGGTGCCCCCGCAGGGCGGGCGGCCGCGCGTAGGGGGACAGCGGCCGGCGGGACCGCAGTGGGCGCGGCCGTCCCGCCTTGCGGCAGAGCGGGAGCGCGGCTGGGAAAGGCCAGAGAAGTGGGGCGCGCCCAGACCGCCGGCCGGCCGCGGATGGGGCGCAGCGCCCTCTCCTCCTGGGTCCTGCCGCGCCCCACCCCGCGCGCGCCCGGGCCGCCGGGCGCTCCCTGCAGCGCGAGCCCCGCCCCAGCTCTGCCCCGCTGCCCGGGCCCTCCTTCCTCGCCGCAGCCCCCGCAGGCCCACTCGGCCCCTGCCGCACGCGGCCTCCCCCCCAACTCCTGTCCTCACAGGGGCAGTCCCAGCCCTGCCCTGAGCACAGTCAGAGCCTCGGGTTCACAAAGACTCCCCATGCGCCCCACCCCACCGGCACCTGCTTCCCCCCTGCACCTTCCCCAGAGGAGAGACACAGTGCCCCTGCGGGTCTAGAGTGTTGGAGCCCATGCCCCCGCTGACTTGGCCCCGACCCCACCAATACCCCACCTCTTTCTCCTGCATTTTAAAAGAAATCTCCCAAGACTTCTCATCTTAAAACTAAACAAAACAAAATGCAAGACAATTGGCCAGGCATGGCGGCCTCACCCCTGTAATCCTAGCACTACAGGAGGCCGGGGTGCGGGGAGGATCCCTTCAGGAGTTTGAGACCAGCTGGGGCAACGCAGTGAGACTGGGTCTGCACAGAACATTTAAATCTTGGCCGGGCGTGCTGCTGCGCCCCTGTAGTCCCAGCTACTCAGGAGGCTGAGGCAGGAGGATCGCTTGAGCCCGGGACTTTGAAGTTACAGTGAGCTATGATGGCATCACTGAACTCCAGCCTGGGTGACAGAGCAAGACCCTGTCTCTAAAATATAAAAAAGAAAAGAAAAGAAAGCCCACTCATTGACTTTATAGCTTCCGTTAAGTTCCGGAAAGAGATGCATATCCGCTGTCCGCACCTCCTCTCTGCTCCCCCCTGAGCTCCCAGCAGCCCGCGGTCTCCTGCCCACTGCCTCCTCCCCGGGTTGAGGGTCCCCTGGCTTTCCTCCTAACTCTCTCGGGTAGCCTCTTCCCGTCCCCGCTTCTTCAAGGTGGTCCCAGGGCTGCCTCCTGGGTCCCAGGTTCGCTTTGGTCCACAAGCCTCCCCAGACAACCGCCTGCTCACCTGTGGCTCTCGCGTCGACGCCCCGCCCAGGCCTGGCTGTCAGTCGCCAGCCCTCTGCCCTGCCCGCCCTCAGGCACCTCCAACCCGGCTCACGCCGCCCTGCCTGGGCACCAGCCCGGCAGAAAGGGGCCCTGGCAGACCCATCGGCCCGAGGGCTCATCCTCAGCTCTGCCCCGCGCGGCGCCTCCGCTGGCTGCCCCCCGCCCTGGGCCTCCCTGGGCAGGTGAGCACCGGGGTCGCCCCGCTCTCGCCCGGCTGCAGAGCGAGTGGAACTCCTACTACGAGGAGGTGGTGTACGTCCTGGAGGAGATCGAGCACGTGATCGAGAAGCTCCCCGAGTGGGCCGCAGACGAGCCCGTGGAGAAGACCCCGCAGACCCAGCAGGACGAGGCCTACATCCACTCGGAGCCCCTGGGCGTGGTGCTCATCATCGGCACCTGGAACTACCCCTTCAACCTCACCATCCAGCCCGCGGTGGGCGCCATCGCCGCAGGTCCTGTGGGCTCCGGTCCCGGGGGCTGGGGGGTCCCCAGGGGCACCGTCCCCCATGGGAGGGGCTCGGGCCTGTGGGAAGGGGGCCGCGGTCAGGTGACAGCTGGTGGGTCTGTCCCGGGAGGCTGCAGGGACCAAACTACTGAGCCAGGCCTCCCAGTGCCCGACCCGCCAGGCGCAGGTGTCCAGCCCCGAGGACGAGGAGGGGCCTACCTCTCCCTGCCCGCGTGTGTGGGAGCAGCTGCTCCCCGAATCTGTGCCAGGCCGTCCTCACCAGAGGGGCCGGCGCTGCTCTCCCAGCCAGACCCCGAGAACTGCTCTCCCCTTTCTCCTCTCCTTCTCTCCTCCCAACATCTCAGCGACTCCAGGGACCAGGCGGGGCAGCGCTGGCCAGCACGTGCCCGTGTGTGTCTGCATGTGCTCCTGTGGCAGTGCTCACGTGCCGGCCTCCCTTCCGGGGACACAGACCGTGGAGGGGAGGCTCCAGGCTCAGTCTTGGGAGGGCAGAACCTTCGGCGGGGGTAGTCTGGGCGCAGGCCTGACTCCGAGTGCTCTGCAGGGAACGCGGTGGTCCTCAAGCCCTCGGAGCTGAGTGAGAACACGGCGAACCTGCTGGCCACCATCGTCCCTCAGTACCTGGACAAGGTAAGGCACCCTCTGGGCTCAAGGGACACTATGTGGGAGGCCAAGTCTTCAGGCCTTGAGAAATAGCGTATTCTTGGAGCAAAGGGCCAAGCCCTGGGCAGGGTGAGAACGGTCCCTAGCAGCTTCCCTCCCCACTGGGGCGACTAGAGCCCCTGAGCTGGGAGAGGGGGGTGTACTTGCCACTGGCCACCTGGGTGGGGTGCCAGGCTGTGGGGCGGTGGGGCTGCTGGTCTCGACCACTGTCCTCCCGGGCCTGCAGCAGCCAGAGGGGTCTGGTCTCTGCTGACCCGCCCCTGTCTGCTTGCCAAAGGATCTGTTCCCAGTCATCAACGGGGGTGTCCCTGAGACCACGGAGGTGCTCAAGGAGAGGTTCGACCACATCCTGTACACGGGCAGCACAGGGGTGGGGAAGATCGTCATGACGGCTGCTGCCAAGCACCTGACCCCCGTCACGCTGGAGCTGGGAGGAAAGAGCCCCTGCTACGTGGACAAGAACTGCGATCTGGACGTGGCCTGCCGGTGAGGGGCGCGGGCCTGCCCAGGCAGCGGCCGCTGCTCTGCCTGCCAGCGCGCGGACCACGCCTCAGGCTGCCGTCCCACTCTCAGTGGCACAGACGGCCCCTGCCTCACGGGGACCATGCGCACAGAAGAGGCACGGGGAGCCCGGGCAGCGTTCTGGAGGGGTCCAGGCAGAGCTCTGCCCACCGCGGGGCATCCCAGTGGCGTGGCGCTGCGAGCAGAGGCTGCAGGGAGAGCCACCGTGGGGCGTTCAGGACACGGAGACCTTTACTGGGCCCAGCCCTCTGCCAGGGCAGGGGTGATCTGAGATCTGGAGGACAGGACCGGGGGGCAGAGGGCCATCGCTGCTCAGGGGCTGCGGCAGGACTCCTACCTACACTTTCTAGCCCAAGCCAGAGCTCTGGCCACCCCATATCCCACATGTGCGGCCCCCAGAGGTGCGGGGGAAAGGGGGGCGAGTAGCAGGGACACCCGGCCCTGCTGGGCTCTAGGAGTGTGATCAGAGAGGCACAAAGGTCGCCCACCCTTAGCATCCTCTAGAAATTCCCCACCAGTCACCAGTGAGGCGAGGACGGCCATGCACACGGGCGGGGTGTCGGGTCTGCTCCAGTGTTTAGCAGTGAGTGGGCCACTTAGGCGGACTCGCTGGTGGCAGAGTCACAGCCTGTGGCTTCTGCTGACCCGAGAGCTCCCCTCCAGGACTAAGGCCACTGCACCTGGCCCTGAGTGCACGGAGTGAGATGTGTGTTCTCAGGGCACTCCCTGAGCCTTCCGGACTCAGTCCGGTCTGGAATTTTCACAGACGTGTCGCCTGGGGAAAATTCATGAACAGCGGCCAGACCTGCGTGGCCCCCGACTACATCCTCTGTGACCCCTCGATCCAGAACCAGATCGTGGAGAAGCTCAAAAAGTCACTGAAAGTGAGTGTGGGCCCGAGGGTGGGGAGGCGGGGCGAGGAGCCGCGCGGCACCGGCTGGGCGTGACTGGGTTCTAGGGCTTCCGGAAACGCGGTGTTTCTTTCCTTCTGAGCATAAAAGTAGTGCACATTCACCGTAGGTAATTTGGAAAAGATTAGAAAGCATGAAGAAGAAGAGAAAAGGTCTACCCAGAACCCCGCCACCCAGACAGTCACTGCTGACACGCACCCGTGTGGCCTTTGGCCGTGACAAGTGTCCGCGTCCTTACCCGGAGCCCCCGCCTCTCCTCCACAGGAGTTCTACGGGGAAGATGCCAGGAAGTCCCGGGACTACGGAAGAATCATCAACGCCCGGCACTTCCAGCGTGTGATGGCCCTGATAGAGGGCCAGAAGGTGGCCCTCGGGGGCACCGGGGACGCTGCCTCCCGCTACATAGGTGCGTGCCCCCACAGAGAGCGCCACCCGCCGCCCCGCCTGCCGGGTCCCCTCAGGTTTGCAGCGAGTGGGCAGGCGCACTCGACACCGGCCGCAGCCGCGTGGGGACACAGGTGGCTCCCGCAGAGCCTGGGCCTTCAGGGGCGGCGAGCACGGCTCCAGGAAGCCCCTCTCCCCACAACGCCCAGAGACACGGGGGCTCCGGCTTCCGCCCCTCCCCTGCAGCAGCGGCGGGAGGTGGGACAGCAGAGGCCACGGGGCCCCAGGTGTGCTGAGTGTGAGGGCCGGCGGCGCCCCGGGCAGGCGGGTCACCGGACGGGCCCGTGGGGCCCCGGATCTGTCGAGGAGACAGAAGAGCTCTGGCAGGGGCTCGGGTGGTCGGCAGGTGCCGCGCCTGGCCCCTGGAGGCAGACCTTGGTCCCCCGGTACGGTCAGTCGCAGCCGTCCCCTGTGGCATGCCAGGACGGAGCGGGGACGCGGCGGGGCCCTGGGAAGAGCTCCCGGCCCCCGGCCGGCCAGGACGGACGCCGGGCGGCGGCTGCGTGTGGAGGGGGGCCAGGCAGGGGTGCAGGCGCCCACCCTCGCCGGCGGCCGGCCGGGCTCTCCGCGCGCTGACCCCGCTCGCGTGCTGCCGCAGCCCCCACCATCCTCACGGACGTGGACCCGCGGGCCCCGGTGATGCAGGAGGAGATCTTCGGGCCCGTGCTGCCCATCGTGTGCGTGCGCGGCCTGGAGGAGGCCGTGCAGTTCATCAACCAGCGAGAGAAGCCCCTGGCTCTCTACGTGTTCTCCGACAGCGACCAGGTGGGCCTGGGCGCCGCCCCCCAGGACCCGGGGCCCGGGACCCGAGCTCAAACCTGCGTTCCGCGCTCGCCGGCGGGGTGGCCTCGGGCGAGCCACCGAACCTTCCCGAGCCGCTCTCCCGCGTCTGAGCCGGGGCTCCTCCCGCGCGGCGGGGCGGTCGCCGCCGTCCTGTGTTCCTCGCGTGGAGCTGGGGACCGCGACCTGCGGGGGGGCGGGAGACAGCGCCGGGCGCCGCCTCCACCGGCGTGTCCTTGCGGCTCCAGGCCTCGCCCAGAAGGGGCGGGAGGGTGGCCTGGGGCGTCCTGGGTAGGAGACTGAGGCCAGCGGCTGGGGCTCCGCACAGGTGATTAAGAAGATGATCGCAGAGACGTCCAGCGGTGGGGTGACGGCCAATGACGTCATCGCGCACATCACCGTGCACACTCTGCCCTTCGGGGGCGTGGGTGAGTCTGGGCCGCCCGCCCTGCCTGCCCCTCGCGGGCCCCAGGGGCTGGGCACGCTCCCGCAGGGGGTTCGGGAGGGGAGAGGCCGAGCCGCGGGCCTCAGGCTCCCACTAACGTCTCCTGTCCGGGCCTCTGGCCTCCGCCTGCACGTGCGTCAGCCACATGCGACCCCGGAGCCTAGAGGCTCCCAGAGGTCACCTCGTGGGAGTCACGAGGTGGGAAATGGGTCAGCCGGCCCATTTCACGGAGGAGGTCAAACAGCCATCCCGTGGCCTGGCTGGGGTTAGACTCTCTCAGGCACTCTCTGTTGTCCCTGGTGTGGGCACCTTGGGGGACACTCCAGGGATCTGCCACCCCCAGGAGGCTCAGAAAAGGGGCGTGAGGGATGGAGGCCCAACCTGGAGGTGGGTGCTGGGGCTCCAGGGTACACCCAGATAGGGCGGGGAGGGAGGCCTGAGGGCAGGACACCCAGGCCTGAGCCGGCTGCACCCACAGGGCACAGTGGCATGGGGTCCTACCACGGCAAGAAGAGCTTCGAGACCTTCTCTCACCGCCGCTCTTGCCTGGTGAGGTCCCTGCTGAATGAGGAGGTCCTCAAAGCCAGATACCCCCCGGGCCAGGCCAAGGTGAGGGAGAAGGGTCTGTGGGGAGACGGGGCTGCCCGGGGCCGGGCCTGGCCGGGCCAGGCCGGGGCCTCACCGCCCGCCCCTCGTCCTTGCTCACAGGCGACCTGGCGCTGAGGGGGGGGGGCTGCTGCGCCTGGACCCTGGGCTGCGCTCCCCCAGAGTGCAGGGCCCCGGCTGCTCTCGGCCCTCGGAGACCTGCTCCTGCAGCTCCCCGCCCTCCCCTGCTGACCGGGCGCACTCCGACTCCAGGGGACCGGCGCCACCTCTTCAAGTCCCCCTCCCCCCCCCTTGCTGGACACACAGAGACCAATAAAGATTTCTGACTCAGCGACACGTGCTCACGGGGCTTCTTTCCTGCACGTTCCCCACCCCGCCCGTCCCACTGCCCCATGCAGCTGGGTCCTGGTGACGCACCCAGAGCCTCTCCCCGGCCCACAGGGCCTGGTGCCAGGAGCCCATGGCGTCGGACGTTCGCCTTAGACTCTGGGCCGGGGGTCTCAGCCTCGCTGATAAAGCGGCTCGGAAACAGGAGACCGACGCGCTCTTCTCCACTGGGTTTGGCCTCCAGAGCAGGAGTCCCTCCGGGGTAGGTGCAGAATGCTGCGGGGGAGGACGGGAAGCGGGTCAGCGCCAGGTCAGCGCCAGGACTCTCGCCCCCCCGACAGCTTTGCGTTATTAAGTTAGGCGGCAGCCCGCCAGGGGCCACCTCGGGGACCTGAGCGGCAAGGACGGGCTCAGGGAGGGACGTCTGAAGCAGGGAGAGGGTCCCAGGGGCTGTCAGAGCAGGCACCAAGCAGCAGCTCAGCCTGGGCCAGGCAGGGGGCGACCTGCGGGGCCGGACCTGCCTGCTGCGACCTCCGCGCAAAGGCCACTGTGCCTGAGCTTGCTCTGCGCTCGCACGGAGCCCCAGGCGCCAGCGGGGGCCAGGCCGTCTGAGGCCTCACCCAGTCCTGCCCTGTCTCTGCGCCAGCCCTCAGGGGAGCAGCCCTGCGGGACACACGTGGAGGTGTGGGCTGCAGCCACCAGGGCTGCCCGGCACGTGCACAGCCCCTGGCCGCACGCGCTCACACATCCTGATAGAGAAAGAAAAATTCCACTAAGCAAACCCTCCCCATGAACAGCCCCTGTGCAAGTACTAAACTGCTGCCGCTCTTGCTTCTGTGAGTTGCTAGCAGCAACTTCTGCCCTGGTGAGATAAGGCAGGAAGAAAGTCCACAGAAACCCTACACCCCCTGCCCCGCTAGAGATAACCACATTGTAACTGCGCCCTGCACCCTCCCTAAAAAGAAATGTCCAAAAGACTGCTACACTCTCTGTTCAGGGCTCAGAATTTGGTAGCAAGCCCCGTCTGAGCCGGCCGGCGTAAATGAACCTGGTTCCTCCACCCTTTTAGCGCCATTCGGTTTGTTCTTGGTCAGCTCTGCTGTGACGACACACCCCCAGGGCAGCCTCATGCGGGGACGATCCCCACTCCAGCCTGGCATGAGCCAGGAGGCCCCGGGAGTACCGCCGAGTCCTTGCCCTGGAGTGCTCAGCGGTGGGGGAGGGGGGGCGCAGGGCCTCGGGCTCTGCCCTCATGTCACCAGTTGCCCGGGTTCCTGCCAGGTCTCTGCTCACCTTCCCTCACTTGCTTACTGTTCACTGCATTTGCCCTTTGGCCCCCTGAGACGTGCACCCCCAGGCCAGGAGGCCAGTGTTCCTTCCTCCCACCCCTCCTCGCTGCCCTGTGACTGCAAACACCGTGTTCTCCACTGGGAGGGTGGGGAGTGGGGACCTGGCCTGCTGGTCTCTCAGGCCACACACCTGCGGGGCAAAAGGCAGCTGTGATGTCCCTGAGGCTCCCCTAGCCCCTCCTCGCCAGCTCCCTCCCTCCCTCTCTGCCTGCACCGGTACCTCCCCCGCCCACGGGGTCTCAGGGGGCGCCTCCCAGGTGCAGGCCCTGGACCCCCAGAAATGCCTGGGGCTCAGTCCCCGCCCTGAGGTCAGGCACTCCCAGTCCTGCGGGCAGAGGGAGGGGCAGAGCCAGCTGGCAAAGCCCAGGGGAGCGACAGGGAGACCCCCGACAATACCCGCCAAGTGCCAGGGCTCCCAAAGCCCAGAAGATGGTGGGGCGTTTCCATCTGGGGAAAAGTTTACCAGAAATAAAAATGAGCCTTATTGAGCAATAAAAATAAATGTGCTATCCAGCCAGGAAAAGCCATGGGGGAATCTTAAATGCACATCGCTGAGGGAAAGAAGCCAGTCAGCAAAGGCTACACGCTGTGCGATTCCAACCCTGTGACGCTCTGGAAAAGGCGACGCTATGGAGACCTGAGGAAGATCAGTGGTTGCCAAAGGGGGTCAGGGGAGGGAGGGAGGAATGGGGGCGCTCAGAGGAATTTTAGAGCAGAGAAACTTTTCTGTAGGGTACTGGGATCCCTGCCCTGCAGCCTGTAACCCCAGCTCTCTGGGAGGCCGAGGCGGGAGGATTGCTCGATGCCAGGAGGCCCGGGCTGCAGTGAGCTCTGGTCAGGCCACTGCACTCCAGCCTGGGCAACAGGGTAAGACCCGTGGAATGCACAACACCAGGAGTAACCCTAGTGTAAACTGTGGGCTTTAGTTCCTGATAATGTGTCCATATTGGTCATCAGTGGTGACAAATGTACCGTCTTCATGCAAAATTTTAATATCAGGGGACAATAACTGGCAGGGAGCTGGGGGTGGAGGAAGCTGGTAGCTGCAAACTCTATGCTTTCTGTGCAATTTTTCCGGAAACCTAAAACTTCTTGAAGGCCGGGCGCGGTGGCTCACGCCTATAGTCCTAGCACTCTGGGAGGCCGAGGCGGGAGGATCGCTTGAGCTCAGGAGTTGGACAGGCCGCGCCCCAGCTCAGTGCTCAGTCGGCAGCAACACACTCTCCTTTCTCTACTGCCTTTGTGGGGAGGTTTCTCTGGGTTGGGAGGTTTTGTTTTTGATTATATTTTCCCAACACTGCTCTCTGGTTAAAATGTTAAGATGACCTCCCCTTGTGTCTGGAATAGCTCCTCAGGCCCACGGCCGCCCTGCAAGGCGCCGTGTGCCCCAGGCCCTGCCTCGCTCTGACCTCGGCCAGCGCCTCTCTAGCTCAACCCCACGGCCGCCTGCGAGCCTTGCCCTTCCTCAGGGTGTGGGCATCTTTCACGCTGGACCCTTCTCCCCACCCCTGTCCTGAGACTCTCCTTTCCCGCTCCCCCTCTCGCACGGGCCTGTTTCCTCTGACAGGCAGCTCTGACCCCTCGCGGCCTTGTTCGTTTCTCTGCTTATGGCCATCGCTCCCCACTCACAGGCAGGCGCTGGCCTCTGTCCGTCGTCGTCACTCTGTATGCCCGGAGCCTAGAGCAGCACACAGTAGGTGCTCTGTGAATATTTGTTGAGTAAATGAATCAATGAATGAGTTTAGATGACATCGTTGGCATTTTGTTGCTCCGAACCTGCCCCCAACAATGCCATCATCTTGTCTGAAATTACCTTACTTCAGAGGACGGCAAGCCCTTCGAAATGATAGAACAACCCAGAAGTTTCAGACTGTGCTAACAACAAGCAAAGTCCCGATGGAAGCGGTTGTCCTCGCCCTGCAGGCACTGCTCTGATAAACGGCCGCTGACCCAGCCAGAGGTGGGAGGAAGAAGAAAGCCGTGGCCGGCACCCACTGCCTTCTTTCCCTCCCTCACACCCCAGCGCCTACGCAGTAAGGGTGTGAGTCCATTTATAGATTGGGAAACTGAGGTCCGGGAAGCAGTGTCACCTGGCCAGGATCTCCTGGTGCCAGTCACGGCCACCATGGCTCTGGAGCACCTGCTGCTCCCTGACATCACAGAGCCACTCAGAACCTCTGCACGAGGAGCTGCTGAAAGGGCCGGACCGAGGAGGAGGCGCGGGGAAGAGAGGCTCAGAGCGCACAGGGACACAGTCTGCGTTTCCCAGACTGAAGGATTCGAGCAGTGGATGCAGATCAAAAGCAGCTCCTCCTCCTTCTCATCCCCTCTCTTCATCCTCTCCCATCTTCCTCTTCTATTTGTTGTTATTTTGACACAATTTACAATATAACCTATTTTATTCATAATGCCCCAAATATGGCCTTTTCTGAACTAATCCTGTTTCCAAACTAGATCTAAACTCAAAAGAAAACAACGATTAAAAAAAAAACACTTGGTCTATCCCCAATACCATGACTTAATCTACTGCTTTTTCTTTCCATTACATGGATTGAAGAATGGGCTAGAAAAAAATATTTGCACAATTATGATTCAACTTTTCCAAACATTTGCTATTGTCCAAAACATAAAATGGTCAAGGATGGTCACAACTCCTGTGCTACCAAGGTGACATTCCCAGGTTGGGCGTCGCAATCCACGTCCCCCTGAACACAGTGCATAGAGACCCCAAAGACCACAACCTTGGCGACTCATTCAGTTCCATTGTTCTGTTGCTTCTGGAGTTTAGATTCTCAGATTTTTAAGAAAATTGCTATAATCACAGTCTCTTCCAAGTTATTGACTGAGAAGCACAATCTTAATCCATAGAAGACTTCCGCTGCCTTTCCACTTGCCGACACCTTTGCGTCCCGCGGCTGCTGTGGAGCCGAGGGAAGGTCGGTCCACTCACGTGTTCCTCCCAGGGCGCTGACTGAGCGGGCTGCGCCAGGCGCTGGGGCCGGTGGGGAAGCAGACAGGGGCTGCAGCTCCGGGGGCGGCCCCGCCTGCCCAGCGGGCTAGGCCAGCGGCGCTGCAGTCATCAGCTGGGCTGGGAACGGGGTGGTGACGCAGCAGGACGCAGGGCGCTCGGCGACACAGAGTAAGCCTCAGGGAGGAGCTAAGAGAGGCGCCGCCGCCTGGGCAGGTTCGCCAGAGCAGGGGAGCTGGGCACCACCCCGCGGCCGGCCGGGCCACAGCCACAAAGCCGAGAGGGGGCGGGCCACGTGCAGAAGTGGTTATTTGTTGAGCAGCAAACGTGCCTGCTGCACCACAGCAAAGCCGGACAGTAGCGCACGAGTAAGCAGACGTGAGAAATACCCGCGGCGAAGTGCCGCGCGGGGGCAAGCAGCCACGGGCACTGAGAGAGGCCCAGCCGAGGAGCTGACGGAAAGCTGGGTCGTGCTCCCCTTGTCATGGGCCCCTGTGCTCCAACCTTGACCTGCAGTGACCTTTGTCCCCTCCGGAGACACTGCCACCCAGGCATCCCCACACCCACTGCCTGGAATGCGGCCCCTGCCCCCAGAGCCCGCACGGTCACTGCCAGGACTCCTCTGGGGTCCCTGCCCACCTCAGGGCTC